ATGTGTGTATGTGTATATATATATATATATATATATATATATATATATATATATATATATATATATATATATATATATATATATATATATATATATATATATATATATATATATATATATATATATATATATATATATATATATATATATATATATATATATATATATATATATATATATATATATATATATATATATATATATATATATATATATATATATATATATATATATATATATATATATATATATATATATATATATATATTGGTGGAATATTATCTAAATCAATTTATTAATATTTATAAATTATTTTATTTGTATTAGTGCGTTCCTATGTACATTTTATTAGTGCATTCCTATTTTACTTACATTAGTGCATTCCAATGTTATTTATATTTATTATTATTTACAGTGTTCAGCATAAAAGAGTACACCCACCACAAATCTCTCATTTAAATTAATAATTTCTGTAGGATGCTTTACAATACTATATTTGTGCATATACATTTGTTTAGTCAGTACTGAAGACAAATCTGGAGCTAATCTACCAAAATAACTTACAATAAGGGTTAAAAAATTAGTAGCCCAAATTTAGCGAAGAAAATTAAATAAAATATTCAAAAATAGCAAAAATCAAGAGAAACAAAAATAAATTAATTTTTGTTGAAATCTTGTAGCTTTTAATATTGTTTTGCAATATTTAGCATGAATTTATATGCATTCTTTTTCCATTTCTAAAGATGTTGTGACTAAAACATTGTTTTAATAAATATATCTGTTTAATAAATCTGTTTTGTTCAAATGCACTAAAATATATTACCCATATTCACAGAGAAATGGATGCAAATATTAATTTCAAAATGCGGTGTACTCACATATGCTGAGCACTGTATATGACTGCATTTCTATTTCATCAATAATAGTCCATTACTATTAAATACATCTGTGTTACGTCCCAGGACGTATTTGTTTCTGTTTTGTATTTTCTTTCTTTCTTTCTCTGCTACACCCAAATAGGAGATGATGAACGTCACCTGCTGCCACTTATGAACCACTCAGTGATTGGAGGACCGAGTAAAGTCGTGGGCGTTTAAGCAGCATGTCTCCAATAGAACAGTGTGTTTCAAAATAGAATGGTTTGCAAACAACCATTGAGTTTTAATGCTAAAAATTCAGCTTTGCATCACAGTTATGTTCATATTTTATTGCCGTTTTAAAACTGTATTCTAAATTGTTCTACATTTCACAATATTACCACTTTCATAGCATATTTCTTTAAAAATCATTAAAAACACTCAACATTCTCAAAGTTTAAAACAGTAGTGTAACCAATAGACCCTTACAGTGCAAACAGTTATAAACACCCACATCTCAGAAATGTGGCATATGTTTTTCAGTTGTAAGACTATGCTTTCTAGGTTTAATGGAAATTCAGCATTATTTTTAACCCTCCCACAAGCCATCTGGCTCCATTCTGGGCGATTATGCTCACTTTTAAGTAGTCTTGTACTGGATGTTATGTCTGATATGGCTATTTAAGGTAAAATGGTCTTCATCTATACTTGCTTTTATTTAATCTGAATTACATTTATTTTGATACATTTATTTTACAGTGATTTATATTGTGCAATGATTTGAAGAGTCGCTAATGGATGTTTCTTGAATGTTTCGGTCTGAATACGCACTTGAGCAGGGATCCATTCTGCAGGCTCTTAAAGCATTGGGTTTGGAGTCCAGACAGAGTCCAATATTGTTATCACGAGTGTGACAGAAAACCTGTCTCTCCTGCGTCCCGTTCCCACACGACACAGAGCACTGCAACACACACACACACAATCATCTTACAGTATAAAGATCAATACAACAGGTGTCAAGCATATGCAGCACAAGGGCATCTGATCTGAACAATAATAATAAACAAAACATCATTATAAAAATTATATTTATACAAGTATATTTCAGTACAATATTTTATTCAAGATGCAACAGACGTGTTAGGAATAAACAAGTATAATATATCTGCTATTGTATTGTAGTTACTACATTTGCACATAGTTACTTTAATATTATATTGAAGTATTGTTTAATTAAGTGTAATCAAGCATTCGCTGTGAAATGAAACCTGTCAGAATGTTATCATATGAGAAATAATGTGCTACTGTACACTGCAGGCGAGGCAGTGGCGCAGTAGGTAGTGCTGTCGCCTCACAGCAAGAAGGTTGCTGGGTCGCTGGTTTGAACCCCGGCTCAGTTGGCATTTCTGTGTGGAGTTTGCATGTTCTCCCTGCCTTCTTATGGGTTTCCGCCGGGTGCTCCGGTTTCCCCCACAGTCCAAAGACATGCAGTGCAGGTGAATTGGGTAGGCTAAATTGTCCGTAGTGTATGAGTGTGTGTGTGGATGTTTCCCAGAGATGGGTTGCAGCTGGAAGGGCATCCGCGGCGTAAAAACTTGCTGGATAAGTTGGCGGTTCATTCCGCTGTGGTGACCCCGGATTAATAAAGAGACTAAGCCAACAAGTAAACGATGACCCACCGACTGATTGATAGAGGCCATGTTTATATGATAACATGTATACACATGTACACAGAACATTAATTTGCAAAGAAACTGAGATTAAAATACCTGTTCAAATCTGTGATTGTTATGTTTTATACATTTAAAACATTGTAAAACAGCATGTTTGTAATAAAGACAGTATAATCATTGTAATTCTTAACCGCTATAATCACCATGGCCACATGGTGTGAGTAAACGTTAATATGCGAGTGTGTGTGTACTGCAAATGGCATTTGTGTGACTCATCATTTCAGAAAAGCTTAAATAAACTCCACCACAAATACTTACTTGGTATTTTAGACTAATAAGCTGTATTTCAGCTTCAGTTGTGTCTGTCTCTATCACTGACTGCTGTTTATCTAATGTAATGCAGGAGAAGCCGACATGCATGTGGGAATTAGGGTTGGGCGATGTTGACCAATTTGGCGACATACAATGTCTAATGTGAAAAATCATGATTGGCATCATTTTGGGGGTGGGGGATGGGGGGGTTGATAGAGTGAGAAGGGTTTGCGACTTATTTGAGGACCAGGAGGGAGACGCGTGATTTCCGGGAGATTCACACTCGTTTGCAGCCATTATGAGTCCCGCAAATGCATAGAGACTCATGGAACTTTCGGGAGACTTGGAATGTCTGAATATCACATTTAACAACTATAATGAGACGCGATCCAGCGGTACATCCTTTATAAACTGTCTGACCTGCACTGCTCTCTGTCTCTGGAGCTCAGAGGAGCACATGACAGTGTGTGGCTGTGTGTGGCTCTACAGTGAGCACCACTTGTGTCTGTGTGTGATCACAACGTAAGTGTAAACGGGGCCTGAGTGTGTATTTTTCGCGAGTGGGCTTGCATCGGGGGCGGGGCGGAGGATTGGCGATGCCACCTCAGCATCGTTTTGTCTAATGGCATCGTCTCAATCGGCCCAACCCTTGTGGGAATGGGGGGCGGGGAGAAGCAGCTCATTTGCATTTAAAGCCACAGTCTACAAAAACAGTCTACAGTGTACTCAGACACCAAAACGGGCAGCTTCTGGAGGCTATAATAAATGATCTGATGGGTATTTTGAAATGAATCATTACAGATACATTCTGGAGACACTAAAAAGTCTTACATCTTGTGAAAGGGGTAAAATAGGTACCCTATAAGCTTTTTTTCACTGTGTGTGGTTGATGTTTAGGTACAATTTAAGTCTACATTATTCGCCCTCCTGGGATTTTTTTTTCTTCTTTTCTTTTTCAAGTATTTCCTAAATGATGTTCTGGAAGAAAACAGAGAATTTTTTCCACAGTATTTTTATATAATACTGAATCAGATGGGCTTCCAGCTAACTCTATCAAGCCTCTTCAGCTGCTCCAGAATGCAGCAGCACGAGTGGTCTTCAATGAACCTAAACAAGCACATGTCACTCCGCTGCTAGTCCGTTTGCACTGGCTGCCAGTTGCTGCTCGCATCAAATTCAAAGCTCTGATGTTTGCTTACAAAGCGACTCCTGGCTTTGCTCCTCCTTATCTGTCCTCACTTCTGCAGATTTATGTGCCCTCCAGAAACTTGCATTCTGTGAATGAACGTCGCCTCGTGGTTCCATCCCAAAGAGGGAAGAAATCACTTTCGCTCATGCTCACGCTCAATCTGCCCAGCTGGTGGAATGAACTCCCTAACTGCATCAGAACAGCAGAGTCACTCGCT